TTTTTGCTGGTGTTCACCTCAAACAGTCTCGTTTGCTGAGGCAAAGGAGACATATGAACTAGGACTTGTGTTACTAAGACAGGAAGTGTGGGAGGACGGGTTGGTGGGGTGGGGTGTAAATAAATTCTTGTTAATTGCGTTCTCATGCACACAACTTTGCTTCAGTGTTTCACATCAGTGTAATTGAGAAATGAATGCAGCTTATCCTCTCTGTTCTTACAGATTCAACGCTGCAGCATTCTGCAATCTCCACTTAATCAGAGCTCTGTGCATGAAGTATGTTTTCAATCTGTAGGTTTGGAAACTTGGATTTGAAAGTGAAGCAAAAATAGATTTTAGCCTTCAGTTCTGTGAAGGTGACTGGTTTCTTTTCACAAAGGTCAGAAAGTCTTTTTGGACAGTGAACTAAAGAAAGTTTTTTCAAGATAGCATGTGACTGAAGTTTAATGATGCGATCAGCTACCTGGATAATAATTGCTGATTGTTTACGATGTTGATTTTAAAATACAGAAACAGATGGCCAATGCCAGTGGTATATAGAACAAAAAGAACAAAGAAAATTACAGCACAGGAACAGGCCCTTCAGCCCTCCAAGCCTGCGCTGATCCAGATCAGTAAGTTCATATAAGTTCAGAAAAAGAGGGGACGTTTTATTTTAGCTTGTAGAAGTTTCTAGACTTTTGAGAAATGGTAGAAATCATAGAATCCCTACAATGTGGAAGCAGGCCTTATGGCCCATTGAGTCCATACCAATCCTCCAAAGAGCATCCCACCCGGATCCACCCCATAATCCTGTATTTCCCATGGCCAATCCACCTAACCTGCATATCTTTGGGCTGTGGGAGGAAACTGGAGACCCAGCAAAAACCCGCACAGACACAGGGAGAATGTGCAAACTCCACACAGAGTCACCCAAGGGTAGAATCAAATCTGAGTGCCTGGTGCTATGAGGCAGCAGTGCTAACCACTAAGCCACCATACTACCCCAAGGGTTACCAGCCTTTACTGGCTCCATCCCCGCCTCTTCGACCTGTTTGTTTCCTCTCCACCTATCCTCTCCTCTATCCATCTTCTATCCACCTCCCACTCTCTCCCTATTTATTTCAGAACCCCCTTCCCCTCCCCCTTTTCTGATGAAGAGTCTAGGCCCGAAACGTCAGCCTTTCTGCTCCTATGATGCTGCTTGGCCTGCTGTGTTCATCCAGCCCTGCACCTTGTTGTTTCAGTCCATCAGAACTGGAAAGAAGTCTCCAGACCGTCAGAACTGAAAAGGAATCTTAAGCCGTTTCAGCAGTCTAAGGAAAGGTGCTAACTGAAGGGTTATTATAGGTCTGATACTTCTCTGGGATTGAGTGACTCTTAAGGATATTGTTGCTTTTGTTGTGATCTTTCTAAAGTGTCATAAATAAATTGCTTTTGGCTTTCCTTCTGCGATCTAAACCTGTGCTGTTTTGTTAAAAGAACATTGACAGTATTGCCTAAATATGTTCAGCCACTGACCAGCATAGGATCCAAATTGCCAAATCACAATTTATGGTCTATCAAGTCAGTTTTCACTCTGCAATCTGATTTGTCCACAATTATCATTAGCTGGGATTATAACACTTGTGCTAATTTTCGGGAGAAATAGCAATTTTGCTTAAAGGTGAACCTTTTGTCGCGATAGATATTTAGAGCATAGAAAGGAGCCAATCAGCCTGATATATCAACCTGATACCTATTTAAAATAGGCACCGCTGCATTTCAGTCTCCCCAAGTCCTGAATACATCATAGAATAGAATTTTTTATAGAATCCCTACAGTGTGGAAACAGGCCATTTGGCCCAACAAGTCCACACTGCCCCTCTGAAGAGCATCCCACCCAGATCCATTCCCTAGATTTCCCCATATCTAGCCCACCTAACCTAAGCATCTCTGGGCACTATGGGCAATTTAGCATGGCCAATCCACTGACCCTGCACATCTTTGGACTGTGGGAGGAAACCAAAGCACCCAGAGGAAACCCACGCAGACACGGGCAGAATGTACAAACTCCACACAGTCACCCGAGGCTGGAATCGAACCCAGGTCCCTGGTGCTGTGAGGCAGCAGTGCTAAACACTAAGCCATCATGCTGCCCCAAAGTGGGCTGTTCCACCATCTTCCTGTAGCCTCTCATTTATCACAAACTATTCCTACTGTCCCATTCCCTTGCCAAAACTCCGCACACGCCCAGACAAATCCCATTGGCCTGCAGTCTTCCTGTCATTCTGAATACTAAACTAATCCCAATATTCTGTCCTGTTCAGTGAAGAAGGATATTGAGGCTTGGCTAAGAGACCAGACTGTTGAAACACCTGAGTCCCTGCTTGATTGACAGCTCTGGCTGTCTAATCTCAATTAATTTCACAATGTTTGTTTACAAAACCCAAAGTGGTATCAAGTGTCTTGTAGTTTCAAGTGTTAAAGTGTAAGAAATCTGGATGATAGACATTTTTATTTCCCTGTAGTGAATGGTATTTTTTTAAACGTGTGGCTTTAACATATTGTAGAGTTACAAATAATGTCCTTTTGCCGCATATCTAACTGTCACTATAGCGTTTGTTTCTTCTGTATGGTATAGAGAAGGTGATTGTGCATGAAAGTGCCATGTCAAGACATGGGGGAATGAGGAGCCATTGGGTGGAAGAAGGGGCATCCTTTAAATTCATTCATGGGATTTGGGCTTTGCTGGCTAAAGGAGCATTTACTGCCCATTCTCAATTGCTGTGAGGTCAGTTAAGAGTCATCACGTTGCTGTGGGTCTGGAGTCACATATAGACCAGACAAGGATGGTAGATTTCCTTCCCTGAAGGACTTTGGTGAACCAGATGTGTTTTTATGACAAGTGATGACTGACACATGAGGAGAGATTGATAAGGTTAGAATTGTTTTCATTGGAGTTCAGACGAATGAGGGGGGATCTCATAGAGACTTAGAAAATTCTAACAGGACTGGACAAGGTAGATGGAGGATGTTCCCGATGTCCAGAACCAGGGGCCACACTATGAGGATTTGGGGTAGACCATTTAGGATGGAGATGAGGAGACATTTCTTCACCCAAAGAGTGGTGAGCCTGTGGAATTCATTCCCACAGGAAGTAGTTGATGCCAAAACATTGAATATATTCAAGAGGCGACTAGAAATAGCACTTGGGGCTGAATGGGATCAAAGATTATGGGGAGAAAGCAGGATTAGGCTATTGAGTTGGACAATCAGCCATGATCATGAAGAATAGCAGAGCAGGCTCGAAGGGCCGAATGGCCTCCTCCTGCTCCTATCTTCTATGTTTCTATGTGATATGGTTGCCATTAAATCAACATTTTCTTCCAGATGTTTATTGAATTCAAATTTCCGCATCTGACACAATGGGATTCAAACTCATGTCCATCTGGATTACTGGTCCAGAGACATTATCACTATGCCACTGCAAGTAGGCATGGTGGCATGATGTGCCATGGTGGGTACTTGGGGCCATATGGCCTATATGGACCAAGCAAAAGCTTGACTCTTAACTGCCCCCTGAAATGGTGGAGCATATTACTTAGCTCGAGGGAATTTAGGAACAGTCAATAAATAGTGGCTTGGCCAGTGATGTGCACATACAAATCTACTCCAAAACCTTAGAGTCCATATATAAAGGATAAAGAAAAAAAAATGCCATCTGTCAAGTTCCTATCATGACTGTGGACAGACACACAAATAGATAAATATTTGAAGGTCACATGACAAGTTGCAAAGGCTGTTAGAAAAAGCATGCTTGGCTTTAGAGGGTCAAACATTTATTTACGGCCCATTGATTCCAAGTGATTGAGCAGTCCCATTCCCCCATCCTCGTCACCCTACACATTTATTTCATCCAATTTCCTTTTGAAATTGTTGCCGATCTCCCCTCCCAACACCCTCAGGGGTTGTGAGTCTCAGCCCATATTACTTACAGGGTAAGAAGGTTCTTCCCGACATCCACCTGAATCTCTCGCCCATGGCCTTAAATTTGTGTCACCTCGTCATTGGATCAGGGGAGACACAGTGGTAAAGACATTGCACTAGTAATCCAGATCCCCAGGTTAATGTTTTGGGGACATGGGTTCAGACCCCCCCGTGGCAAATGGTGAAATTTGACTTCAATTCAAACAAGTCTGGAGTAAAAAACTAGCCAATAGCAACCATCAATTGTTGTAGAAACCCATCTAGTTCATCCATTAGGGAAGGAAACTGCCTGGAAACATCCTTTCCTGGTCTGGTCTACATGTGACTCCAGACCTACAGCAATGTTGTTGACTCTTAACTGTCGTGTGGGCAATTAGAGATGGGCAATAAATGCTGGCCTAACCACTGATGCCAAAATCCCTTGAATAACTAAAAAAGTTAATAGTGAAGGTTTTCATTCTTTCCCTTATTAAATCACCGCTTGATTAAATCTCCCTTCAATCTCCTTAGCTTCAAGGAGAGCAATCACAGCTTCTCTTGTAGCTAGAATGCTTTGACCCTGGAACCATTCTGAACCTGATCTCCCCCCTCCATCTACCAAAGGGCCCTCACACCCTTGCTCAAGTGTGCTGACCAGAACTGGACACAATACTCTACTTGTAACCTAAGCAGAGCTTCAGATAGATTTTTTTAAAAAATTCATTTACAGCATTATTGATCATCCCTAATTGCTCTGAAGGCATATGAGAGTCAACCATATTGTAGTCATCTGTCGGCCAGTCTAGGTAAGACAGCAGATTCCCTTCCTTAAAGGACATTATTCAACCAGATGAGTTTTTTACAACAATTATCAACAGTTTCATGCTCATCATTAGACTCATAATTCTAGATTGATTCTCATATTGGAAAAATGTGAATCTAAACAAACAGAATGTTTAGATTTCAAAGTGGAAGTTGAGTGACATCCTCAACTGTTCCGTCTGAAAATACCACCAGCACCTCATGGCCAGCCCACAGGAAGGTAGGCTGATATACGTCCAACAAGCACTTACACGTTTGTTGTAAAGACCCCATAGATGAGGTCCTGCTCGGGGAGATAGAATGTGCTCTGCAACTCATTGTAGTAAAACGGGATCTCCCCCGATCGCGAGCAGTTGAGCCGGGCCTTCATGAAGGTTGTCCACGTGTCCTCCAGCAAAAACCGCCCCCCAACGTCACTCTTGCAGACCCGCCCGACACGGGAGTAGACAGTCTTCCCACAGTCGTGCTCCACAGCGTTCTCACGGAAGAAGAAGTAGATGAAGAGACCGATGTCGTACGCTGAGATGAAGTTTGGTTCTGGAAAGGAAGGAGAAGGCACAAGAATTGATGAAGGAGGGGAGTCCTCAGGTGAGCGGCCCACCATCACCCCCATACCTTAACCGGCAGCCTTCATTTACCTCTCCAAAATTACCATTGGAACTCCCAGGCCTCCAAACACACCTTCCTGCTGAAGCAAAGTTTTATTTGCACTATTCGATTGGATCCGCTACTCACAACATGGTCTCCTTTAGATTGGCAAGACCAAACGCAGATTGGATGATGGCTCTGTCCACCGGAATGATCCTGACCCTCCAGTTGCTCGCCATTGCAATAAGTCATCTTGCTCTCCCATTAATATTTCTATCGTTCTGCAATGTTCCAACAAAGTAGAATGCAATCTTGAGGAACAACACCTCAGTTTTTGCTTAGACATTTTACAGCCTTTAAGACTCAATATCACGGAGTCAAAGAGTCATAAAGCATGGGAATGGACCCTTTTGTCCAAAATGTCCATGCCAACCATGTTCCCAATTAAACTAGTCCCATTTACTTGCATTTGGCCCATATCCCTCCAAACATTTCCTATTCAAGTATTTATCCAAATGTCTTTTAAATGTTGCGACCTTATCTGCATCCACCATTTCGTCTGGCAGTTCATTCCACACGTGAACCACCCTCTGTGTAAAAAAGTTGCTCCTCATGTCTTTTTAAACCTTTAGCCTCTCACCATAAAAATACACCCTCTAGTTTTGACCTCCTCCACCCTAGGGAAAAGGCCTTTGCTACTCACCTTATCTATGCACCTCATGATTTTATAAACTTCTATTAAGGTCATCCCTCAATTGCCTACGCAAGTGAAAAAAGTCCCAGCCTATCAAGCCTCTCCTTATAATTCAAAACCTCCATTACTGGCAACATCCTGGTAAATCATTTCTGAATCCTCTCCCATTTAATAATATCCTTCCTATAACAGGGCAACAAGGACTGCACGCTGTACTCCAGACGAGGCCTCACCAACACCCTGTACTACCTCAACATGACGTCCAACTCCTATACTCACAGGTTTGAGCAATGAAGGCAAGCGTGCTAAATGCCTTCTTAACCACCCTGTCTACCTGTGACGTAAATTTCAAAGAATTATGAACCTGAGCCCTTAGGTCTCTCTCACTCTTCGACAACATTAGCCAGGGTCCGGCCATTAACTGTATAGGTCCTGCCCTTGTTTGTTTTAGCAAAATGCAATACCTCACATTTATCCAAATTAAACTCCATCTGCCACTCCTCAGCTCATTGACCCAATTGATCAAGATCTCTTTGTAATCTTAGATAACCTTCTTCACTGTCCGCAAACTTACTAACCATGCCTCCTAAATTCCCATCCAAATTACTATTTATATAAATGATAAACAAAAGTGGACCCAGACTGATCCCTGTGGAACACTGCAGCTGACAAGCCTCCAGTCTGAAAAAACACCACCCTCTGATTCCTACCGTTAAGCCAATTTTGTATCCAATTGACAAGCTTTCCCTGAATCCCATGTGATCCAACTTTACCAATTAGTCTACCATGCGGAACCTTGTCAAAGGCTTTACTAAAGTCCAAATAAACAACATTTACCGCACTGCCCTAATCAATCGTTTTGGTTACTTCCTCAAAAAACTCAATTTGTGAGATACAATTTCCCTCGCACAAAACCATGCCGACTATCTCTAAATGTATGTAAATCCTATTTTTCAGAATCACCTCTAACAACTTTACCCACCGCCGATATCAGGTTCTATAGTCCACATGCATCTCCTTACTGCCTTTCTTAAATAAAGGCACAACATTAGCTGCCCTCCAGTCCTCTGGTACCTCACCCTTGGTTACAGATGATACAAATTTTTCTGCCAGAGCCCCCACAATTTCTTCCCTAACTTCTTGCAATGTGCTGGGATGCACTTGATCAGGTCCCAGACATTTATCCACCTTTATATTTTCTAAGAACTCCAGCACTCCCTCTTCTGTAATGTGAACTGTTTTCAAAACATCAATATTGGCTGTCCAATAGAAGACAGAGGGTGGTAGTAGATGGAAAGTATTCAGCCTGGAGCTCAGTGACCAGTGGTATTCCACAGGGATCTGTTCTGGGACCTCTGCTCTTTGTGATCTTTATAAATGACTTGGATGAGGAAGTGGAAGGGTGGGTTAGTAACTTGCCAATGACACAAAGGTTGGAGGAGTTGTGGACAGCGTGGAGGGCTGTTGTAGGTTGCAACAGGGCATTGACAGGATGCAGAGCTGGGCAAAGAAATGGCAGATGGAATTCAACCCAGAAAAGTGTGAAGTGATTCATTTTGGAAGGTGGAATTTGAATGCAGAATACAGGGCTAATGGCAGGATTCTCGGCAGTGTGGAGGAACAGAGGGATCTTCGGGTCCACATCCATAGATCCCTCAAAGTTGCTACCCAAGTCGATAGGGTTGTAAAGAAGGCGTATGGTGTGTTGGCTTTCATTGGCAGGGGAATTGAGTTTAAGAGCTGTGAGCTTATGCTGCAGCTCTATAAAACTCTGGTTAGACCACACTTGGAATATTGGGTTCAGTTCTGGTCACCTCATTACAGGAAAGATGTGGAAGCTTTGGAGAGGGTGCAGAGGAGATCTCCCAGGATGCTGTCTGGACTGGAGGGCAGGTCTTATCAGCAAAGGTTGAGGGAGCTAGGGCTTTTCTCATTGGGCGAAGAACGGTGAGAGGTGACTCGATAGAGGTGTACAAGATGATGATAGAGTGGATAGTCAGAGACTTTTTCCCAGGGCGGAAATGACTATTACGAAGGGGCATAATTTTAAGGCGATTGGAGGAAGGTACAGGGGAGATCTCAGAGGTAGGTTCTTCACACAGAGTGTGGTGGGCGTGTGGAATGCGCTGCCAGCAGTGGTAGTGGAGTCAGATACTATAGAGACTTTTAAGCGACTCTTGGATAGGCACATGGAGGATAGTAAAATATAGGGTATGCAGGGTAGATTGATCTTTGTAGGATAATAGGTCAGCACAACGTCATGGGCCGAAGGGCCTGTACTGTTCTATGTTCTATTTATTTTCCCGAGTTCTCAGCGTCCATTTCTTTCTCCATAGTAAAAACTGATGCGAAATATTCACTTAGTATCCCTCCCATCTCTGGAAGTTCAACACGTAGATGACCTCAATGATCATAGGGGGCCCTAATCTCTCTCTAGTTTCATTTTTGCTCTTAATATACTTGTGTAATCTCTTTGGATTGTCGTAACCTTATCTGCCAAGGCTCTCTTATATCCCCTCTTTGCCATCCTGATTTCCCTCTTAGAAATGCCCCTACATTCTTTATACTTTTCAAGAGATTTAGTTGATCCCAGTTGTCTATATCTCATAAATGACTCTTTCTTATTCTTGACTAGAACCTCAATATCATTATTCATTCATTGTTTCCCATTCTTATCAGACTTAGCTTTCACTATAACAGGAACTTAATGCCTTTGAACTCTCGTTTTCACACTTTTGAAAGTCTCCCACTTGTCAGTCATCCCTTTTCCTGTGAACAGTCTACTCCAATCAACTTTTGAAAATTCTTGTCTCATACCATTAAAACTTACCTTATTCCATTTAAGAACATTAACTTTCATCAAACGTCCATCCTCTTCCATAACTATTTTAAAACTACTAGAATTATGATCACTGGTCCCAAGGTGTTCCCCTCCTAACACTTCAGTCGCTTGTCCTGCCTTATTTTCCAAGAGTAGGTCAAGTTTTGCTTCTTCTCTGGTAAGTACATTTATATATGGATAAAAAAAATTCTCCTGAACACTTTTAACAAATTCCTCAACTTCAAAAACTGATTGCCCACTCCACAGCCATGTCTTTTTCCCTTATTCACAGTACAGAGGACACATTTTCTCCCTCAATCTACATCCATTTTACATCTCTTTACTCCATCTTTTGCATGGACCCCTACACCATCTGTTCCCTTTGTCCCTTCTCCACCACTGTCAGAGGTATAAAACAAAACAATTTCCAACCTTTTTCAGCTCTGAAGAAGAGTCACATCAGACCTGACACATTAACTCTCTCCAGATTGAGTTTCTCCAGCCTTCTCTGTGCTATCATTCCGATGTTTAAGCTTAGGCCTGTTTTTGTCGGGAATGAACATGGGGCTTGGGGACAGGTCCAATGATTCCAGAAACTGGCAATTGGTATCAGGTAGTGATGGGTACAGACCCCTGTGAGGAGCAGTGCCCCTACACCCCCTCCACCAAGCTCCCAATCTTCCAACACCCAGCTACGACCATACCCTTTAGCTGCTGACCTTCAGCTCACCGTGCCAAAGAAGCTGCCACATGTTTCTTATTTATCCAGAGCCCAAAGGATAGTCTGACTGACCCGACCTATGGGACAACTTTTTCACACAGAGGGTGGTGCGCGTATGGAATGAGCTGCCAGAGGAAGTGGAGGAGACTGATAAAATTACAACATTTAAAAGGCATCTGGATGGGTATATGAATATGAAGGTTTTAGAGGGATATGGGCCAAATACTGGCAAATGGGGCTAGATTCATTTTGGATACCTGGTCGGCATAGACAAGTTGGACCGAAGGGTGTGTTTGTGTGCTGTACAGCTCAATGACTCTATAACTGATTTTAAAGGTGCCAGGTTTCCCACCCCAGCCACCAGCTAAAACATTAAAGACAGTGAAAGGGGACTGGGAACATCAACTGCACTGTGACTGGCTGTTAGCAGACTGGAGGCATGACATCAGAACCTCTGGAGCAGGAAGTCCCACCTCAGGGAACTAGTAACCAACCAGAGGCCACTGAGGGACTGGGGCAGGTTGATATTGTAGTGGCTGGGATTGTGGGTCTCACCAGGTGCCAAAATGGCAGGCACTGGTGGGAGGAGATAAGGGGTGTGTGAGGTCGGGGATGGAGTTGGCTTTGCGAGATCATGGGCCTGTAGAGAACCCTCCAACAGGCCCAAGAAGGGCTTGTTAAGGTAGGAGTCCACTCCAACCCCTACCAGCCTGGAAAGATATGGGTGTGTTTCAAGTCTGGTTAAATTCTGGTGACAGTGGGATGAGAACCGTAGAAACATAAGAGCAGAAAGAGGCTGTTTGGCCCTTTGAGTCTGCTTCACTGTACTAACTCATATCAGTCTCAATACCATCCATGTCCTTTAATGCCATTAATAAATTGAACTCTATTCATTTCAGTCTTCAGCCTGCTCAATGACTGAGCTTCCACAGCTCTCCAGAGGAGAGAATTCCAAAGATTCAACACTCCCTGAGCAAACAAATTCCTCCTCATCTCAATCCTAATGGCTGACCTGTACTCAAGGATGGTCAATTAAAATCCCACAAAGGCCTCCTTTGGCTCATCAATGGGTGAGCAGTTTGAAACCACTTCTGCCATTGGCAAGGTCATGGGTCGACAGGAAGCTCACCTGCTGGATTCAACCAGACTGGCACCTTCCGCAGGGGACAGGGGGAGGAGATGAAGAGCTCAGATCAAGAATTGGGTTCCATTATAATCAAGGCATTAAGCTTTGTCTTGATTCACTCAAGGGATGTGGGCATTGTCCATCCCTAATTGTGCAGAGGGCATTTAAGAATCAACCACATTGCCGTGGGTCTGGAGTTACACGTAGACCAAACCAGGTAAGATTTCCTTCCCTAAAGGACATTCATAAACCTCATGGGTCTTTATGATAATCAACATTCCTTGCTATTCGACCAGCTTTTAATCCCAGGTTTATTGAATTCAAACAAATTCACTGCTCGTCATGTAGTGAGTAATGGTAGGCAATGAACCACACCAGTAGAGGGTCAGGTTGGTGAAGGAAGGATGATTGGAAACATGTGGCAGCTTCTTTGGCACAGTGAGCTGAAGGCCAGCAGCTGAAGGGTATGGTCGTAGCTGGGTGTTGGAAGATTGGGAGCTTGGTGGAGGGGGTGTAGGGGCACTGCTCCTCACAGGGGTCTGTACCCATCACTACCTGATACCAATTGCCAGGCAGAATGGACAGCAGGCTGAGAGTGTGAAACTGCTTGTTGATGCGTACGGCATGCTTTCATTCATCGGACGGGGTTTTGAGTACAAGAATTGGCAGGTCATGTTACAGTTGTATAGGACTTTGGTTCGACCACATTTGGAATACTGCGTACAGTTCTGGTCGCCACATTACCAAAAGGATGTGGATGCTTTGGAGAGGATGCAGAGGAGGTTCACCAGGATGTTGCCTAGTATGGAGGGCGCTAGTTATGAAGAGAGGTTGAGTAGATTAGGATTATTTACATTAGAAAGACGGAGGTTGAGGGGGGACCTGATTGAGGTCTACAAAATCATGAGGGGTATAGACAGGGTGGATAGCAAGAAGCTTTTTCCCAGAGAGGGCGACTCAATTACTAGGGGTCATGATTTCAAGGTGAGAGGGGAAAAGTTTAAGGGAGATATGTGTGGAAAGTTCTTTACGCAGAGGGTGGTGGATGCCTGGAACACGTTGCCAGCGGAGGTGGTAGAGGCGGGCACAATAGCATCATTTAAGATGTATCTAGACAGATACATGAATGGGCAGGGAGCAGAGGGATACAGATCCTTGGAAAATAGGCAACAGGTTTAGACAGAGGATCTGGATCGGCACAGGCTTAGAGGGCCGAAGGGCCTGTTCCTGTGCTGTAATTTTCTTTGTTTTTGTTCTTTGATGCATGGAGTGTACCAGGCAGGTCTGACGTGCTGAAGGCACAGTGAAGTGGTAAGCGTTCGGGATGGCGGGACAGGTGAGCATTAGAGGAAGAGAGAAATCTCAGTGGGGGTGGGAGGAGGAACCATTGTGGGACTGGAGGAAGCGATAGAAGTAGGGAGGGGAGATGATTATGGAGGAATTTGAAAAGAAGGATGAGAATTTTTAAAATCGTGGCATTGCCAGACAAGGTGCCAATGCTGCAGCTGGGTACTGAACCATGTCTGTCCCACATTGGCTAGTCACGATAATCAAATGCACACGACCTTTTCTTAAATAAAATGAATCGTACGTTACATTGTCATCACTCCTACGCCAGCCCCCACCCGCCACACAGTGCTCCCCTCTGTAGAGATGCTCCCCTCTGTAGAGATGCTGCCCTCTGTAGAGATGCTCCCCATGGCTCATGACTTACCGTTTAGCCACTTGGAGTTGTACTGTGCAGTTCGGAGAGGAGGTCTACTTCCCAGACTTCGGTAGATGGCGGGGTCGCGACCTGAGAAGTCGATCACAGTGGCGGCGTACAGTTCTCCCCGGGAGGTGATCACAGCAGTGGAATTGTGCCTGGGATCATAGGGACATCTTGCCACACCATTCATCCTGTCCAGCACTTGGCTCAGGTTCCCAAGCTGGAGGAAGCAAGCACATGGCCTCAGTTAGTGCAGCATGCTCCTCTTACATTACTTTCTCCTCACTGCCTTTCCCCAGTAGCTGCAAGGCATGTGTATTTGTTACCTGTTACCTCCTTTCGATGCTCTATCTCACTGAAAAGAAACCATAACGATTGCAAACTTCTGCTTGACTTTGTACTCCACCTACCCAATTCATCAGCTCTTATACTGCTCTTCTAGGTTTCTGACATTTCCAACGCTCAGTTTCACCAAATCACCTTCCTGGTCTTTTTACATCCACATGCAACACATTCAGAACACAAGCCCCTATCATTCCTTTATCTGAACCCCTTCAATACTCCGGCAGTACTGTGGTAGTGCTACACAGAGTTGTTATCTTTCGGATGAGACATTAAAACTAGGACTGAGCTACACCGTCCGTAAAACAAAAATCACAGTGTTAATTTGAAATGGAGAGACTCTTTTGTGTCCTGGCCAAAATGTATCCCAAAAACCACACTACTAAAGAGATACAGGGTCGTCTGGTTACTGTCTCATTGTTTTGTGTCAGAGTTTGTTGCTGTATTTTCATGCATTGTAACTGTGGCCGCACTTCAGAAAGAATTTGATTGGGTGTGAATTGATTTAGGATGGTCTGAAGTCTTGAAAGGGATCTGTGTAAATGCAGGTGGTTTGTCATGCTACAAAGACACATTATATTTAATATTGCTTGGAGGATTTAAGTTTGAATGGCTTGCTCAAAAAGGAGTTTATTCCAAGTTTTAGACCAAGAGTGGTTTCTTAAACGAGGACCTTGAAAGTACACTGCAGTTTTTTTTTAACAAAGCTTCCGAGAAACAACAGTGAAAATTGCTTGGTTTGCTGTAAAACCTACATGGGAGTTTTGAATAGTGACTGGCTTGGTTATTGTTGACTGGGATGGAAGCCTCCTAAGAACAAGCTCATTTGGAGGAAAGCCTGCTATGGACATGTTGCCCAGCTGGTCTCTCACATTTCTGGAAAGAAAACCCCCCACATCAGTTCAGACTGAAACTCCCCATCCCTCTCTGACTTCCATAAGGACCATTCCCTTTGCCACTCCTTAGTTTGCACCGTACTCGCCACCAACCACTCCCATCCGCCTGGTACCTTCCCCTGTATCCATAAACGATGCAACACCTGCCCACACACCACCTTCCTCACCTCCATCCAGGGCCCTAAACAGTCCTTCCAGGTGAGATACAGCTTCACCTGCATCTCCTCCAAACTAGTCTATTGCCATCCAGTGCCCCCAATGTGGTCCTCTCTACGTCTGTGAGACTAAACATAGACTAGGTGATCGTTTCGCTGAGCACCTTCACCTGGCCTCTAAAAGCCAACCTAACCTCCCGGTCACTACCCATTTCAACTCCCTGCCCCACTCCCCTTCTGACATCCGTCCTCGGCCTCCTCCAGTGTCACAGCGACACAGAATGCAAATTTGAAGAACAAAACCTTATCTTCCCCCGGGCACCCTACAACCCTACTCAACACTGAGCTCTCTAATTGCAAATAACCCTGTCTCCCATCGCCCGATTCCCCTTCCAGCCCCACCTCCTCCCTTCCATTCCACCTCTGACCCTCCCTTCCAGCCACCAACCGGATTCATCCTTCCCATTGACCAACCAGGTCATACCTACTGCCAGTGTCCACCTATCACCACCATCCTGCTACCTCCCTCTCCCCCACCTCTTTATCTGTAGCTCTCCCTACCCCCACATCCAGTCCTGAAGAAGGGTAATACCCGAAACGTTGACTGCTCCTTTCCTCCAGATGCTGCCTGGCTTGCTGTGTTCTTCCAGCCTCCTGTTTGTCTACCTGGGATTCCAGCATCTGCAGTTTTTTTTGTCTCTAACCAGATCGAAATTTAGTTGTTCTTTGGAAGAGGGATTGAAAGAGCATCTCAGGAGTGTATTTCCTGTGTAACTTATGTTTGTAAGACTTCAGAGACAACTATGTCTGATTAGTGACTTGACCAGCTGTTTGTCACAACATCAGAGGAACAAACTTCGGGGGGGGTGTGTGTGTCCTGTGCTTTGGGATGTTTACACAGATAAGCATTTATGTCTCTATACTACTGACTATGTTAACCAATTATTATTGGTTATCAAATATATCTTTGTTAAATAAGTTTTGTTTTGATAATAATTGTGTTTATTTGAGAAACCTGATTGATAGATCTTTTGTTTAAGCCCTGTTAGTAATAAGGTATTCAGTTGTTATCTTGGTAACTGGAAGCAGTATGTTATGTTGCAGCCATGGAGCAGTAAACCTAGAGTAAAGGTGCAGGCTTCTAGCCTCAATCCTAACAATTCCCTCATTTCATTTGTTCTGTAGCCCTGCCCAACTCATCTCATTCAGTTTGATCTCCATGTCCTTGAAGACCCGAATTCACTCTTCCCCTCCTTGTTCCCTCCAGTCCATCCTGGTTGGCTGTTTGCCAATTCTCCTCATTGTCTGACCCTGGAGCTCTCTGGAACTCAAAGCCTCCTTTTTACCTACTTCACCGACCACTCAAAAACCTCCTAAGTGCATTTCTCTTTGAGCTCTTGCTATCTTTCTGATCCTGCACAGCTTTGTACATGTATTCTCTCTTTGTGAGGAATTGATAAAGATAGCTACAGATCTTGTTTAAGTCAGTTTGTACACATTCAATTCATTCTCACAAAGTGTCTCTACTCAGAAACGTAACCTGCCATTTCTATGTCTCCATCAAAGTGGGATTTAATTCTTCCTTCCTCCCTCCCCACACCACTCCCATTCCTTTCATAACTCCCCTCATGGTTATGAATTGACATCTTCATCACAGAACTACAAAGACCAGTTGCTCTTCAAACTCAAAATTCTCATCTTTGCCCATAAGACATCGGAGTGGAAGTAGGCCATTCAACCCATCTGCTCTGCCATTTAATGTGATCATGTCTGATTGATCATCCTCAACCCCATTTTCCAACCTTTCCCCTATAACCCTTGCTTCTCTCAATGATTAAACATCTGTCTACCTCAGCCTTGAATACACTTAATGTTCCAGCTTCAACAGCCCTCTGCAGTGAAGAATTTCACAGATTTTCCACCCTCTGAGAGAAGAAATTCCTTCTCATCTCTATCTCAAACATGCAACCCTTTATTCTGAGATGATGCCCTCTGGTTCTAGATTCTCCCACAGGGGGAAGCACCCTTTCCACATTGATCTTATCAAGTCCCCTAAGAATCTTGTATGTTCAGATCGTTCCATAATCTTGCCTCATTCCCATCCTTGTAACCCCCAAACCAAAAATCCTCTGAGAATACAGCTCCCATCCAATTCGGGCCTTTTGCAGATCACTAATTGCCTTCACCCCATTGTTATTGACTGTGCTTTCCACTGCTTTGGCAGAGATTACCTCCCTAAACTTCCCCGTCTCAATCTACCCTTCCCATCTCCTTTAAGGTGCCTTTTCTGACCTCTGCTGATAACTCTTTGTCTGCCACAATCTGGTCAATTCTAGTTGGCCAGAAGCACACTTCGGGTCATTTCCCTACATTACAAATCAGTGTTTTCTGTCCCAACATCACATTTCCACTTCTCCTTTCTCTTTCGTTCACGTAGAAAGCATCCCATAACATGCCGGCACTCTCGACTTCATTATGTTGGTTGTGACACGCAACAGCAGATTTCTAATGAGCGTACGTTACAAATTAAATCATGATTAACGAGTATCTGCACTGTGCTGGGGAAATGGATGTCATTCTCAAAGTCAGGAACAGAGGGACAATACTTCAGGTAAGCCTGTTTGCATGAAAAACTCGCATTGATATAGTGACCTCATGATGTTACAAAGTGTTTTAACAGCCAAAAGGGTACGTTAAAGTCTAATATTACTGACAAGGAAACAGGGCAGCTGATTGGTGAACAAGGCTCCAGGGTGGAAAATTGGAAAATCCTAAAATCTCCTGCTTTCCAGAAGCTTGTGCTGTTTGCCCTAATATCTCGTCATGTAGGTCAGTGTCAGATTGTATTTGATAGTCACTGCTACGGAGCGCCTTGGGACAGGTCACAACGTGAAAGGTGCTATGTAAGCGAAAGTTGTTGCTACTTCAAGTGGCTGAGCAGATAATCTGTGCTTTTCAGGATGTTGGCAGAGGGATAAAAATCGGGCAGGAGACGAAGGAAGAGGAACTCTGCTCATCTTTGCAATAGTTCAATGGACTGCTTTTACATCCACCTTAGGTACGGGCCCTGCTCTTCCAAATGCCAAAGGAGAAAGCCACGCAGAAAGAATATTTATATAAAGCAGACAGGCGATGAAGGAATGTCACCTTGACATTGTCTGGCATCATCAATCACCGCTAGCCACCATTTGCTGGCAGCTGTAAGAAATAAAGTGACTGCATTTGAATAATGAAATCATCTGTGATTGAATTCATCCTTTCCATTGCCTCCACCTCCACTTTAATATTCATGGCAAATATTTAAGGAACAGATGATCGATGTGACTCGATGCTCTCGGTGGTTAAGGACATATCCCCAAATAGGTCTTTGACTCCGGAATGCAAGTAATTGCTCTGAAGTCCAGGACACATGCCTGGAAAACCATATATAATGACGTGTCACCTTGACTATCCACAAGAGTGTTGCCCATACCCAACTTAGCCCATGCTTGCAAACCTCAGGACCACCATGTCCAACATTAGATGTGAATCTGTAACTGGACCATAATTACTAATTACTAAATAATCCTGACTCTGCTAAAAATGGCACCATGCACTGATTTAGCAGGCCATGCGTATGCTCACTCAGTTCAGAGCACGCAGAGTTAACATTTCAAGTCTAATGAAGTTCCGTAGAAGAGCCATATCAGATTCAAAATATTAACTCTGTCCTTCTCTCTCCACAGATGACTGGTTTCTTCAGTGCTCCATTTGCTTCAGCAAACCAGAGATTCAGGTAATGCTCCATGGCAGATGGCAGAATTTGAACACTCTGGAAATAGAAGTCC